TCCTGATGCCAGGCAGATGGCTGGAGCTCTTGCTCTGAAAAAAATGTTAAGCTTTTTTGTCCATTTTGTAGACAAAAAAAAAAAAAAAAAAAAAAAAAAAAAAACACTTTTTTTTTTTTAAGAATTTCTCTTGAAATTATGACACTACTGCAGAAAAGGACAACAATTTCCTCAGGTTATAGTCTAAATATGGTGCCACAATCAAAACCCATTCACATCAGCAAAGCCAAATAATTTATTTCAACTCACAAAGGTGTAACTGAGATCAGACTGCAGCTTTTCATAAGTAATCCAAGTTCCTGTGGCTCAAAGTAACCCACGTCTGCGTACATTGGGCACATCTTTCAGACAGAACTCATAGTCTGAGAAATGTTTCAGTTCACTGACTATCATTTCACAAAATGTTATAGCTACCTCCTGTACTTTGCAGATGCAATTTCCATTCCCTGATCTCTTCTTCTGCACATTATTCTGAAAGAGTTACACAAGGAGAAAAACCTCATCAGTAGTCTGCCACAATGAAAAACTATGCGAGATCAATGTAATGTATGCATTGATTAAGTCCCCATGGAGTCCTCAAACTCCATGTCATCTTGCTGAACACTGGATTTTGCCTTTAGATCTCTGATGTAGCTGAGATGTGTAAAAATTAATGTAAGCTGACAACTTCTTATTAGTTACACATCTAAAGAGTCTCCAGTGGGTAAGTTATTCCTCCCAAAGTCAGTTCTGACTTATGCTCACTAATTGACTCAAATGCGCCTGTTTTAGATACCAGCATAAAAATAACCACAGGAAAGGGGAGTTAGTGGAAGGCTTTTGAGCCATAACATGCCAGAACAATTTTCATTAAAACCACCTGCTCTCATTTTATTTCCTCGAGCCCAAATCCTCACATAATTAGGAAACGGTGCCAGAGTCAGCCCCAACTCTCTGCTCTGCCAGGGCTGCAGCAGGAACAGAGATGATTTGAAAGGGGCCAGCAGCCCCAGATTCCCATGGCCCCATCCATGGGGCTGGCCCAGGGAAGGATGGTGCCTTTCCTACTCCAGACACCAACCTGGGCAAGAGGGAAGGAGAGGAAAACGGCAGGGAGAAGGAGGCAGAATATAGGAGGGAAAGCAATAAAGAATGGCAGAAAAAAAAAAAAAAAAGTAGTCTAGTAGTCTAGGAAAAAGTTACCGTGATATGAGAGGAGGAAATGTATAAAAAAAAAAAGTCTGAGAGGTCAGAAAAGGTGTGCAGAATGGATGTTGTTCAGATCTGAGCTTGACTATCTCTGTGCCATCAGAAATCCCAAAGAAATTGCCCTCTCTGACAGCCAGAGAGCTGCTTGAGCTCAGGTTCTGTTTTGTCACCATGTTTTGTTCATCACAACCCTTGTGCCCTTTGCAAAAGGAGCCCTTGTCATGCTGTCTGCATGATACACTTTGCATGAATTTAAATAGTTCTTGTTATTTAGTCTGATTTAAGATCTTATTGTGATTATTTTCAAGTATTTTTGAAACTATATGATACTACACAATAGGAAAAATGGATTTCGTGTACATTAATGTTACACCCAAGCTTTGAACATATTGCAAATTGAAATGAAAATAATCAAAATTCCATAGTTGTGTATAATAAACAGAAAACATTGTAAAGCTATCATGACGATTTTATTTTTCACCCTTTTATAATTTCAGTCATCTTTGATACGTTCTTGTGAAAGGTCTTGTCACGGAACGAATGGTGGCAGGGGTGAGTGACAAATGTACTTCGCTCGTTTGAAAGAAATAATAACAGGATTTATTAATATGGACAATGATTTCACGAGATTCTATGGCAAGGTCACTTATTCACTGCATGGAGGCTCAAGATAATACACAATTATCTTGGGATACCCTCCCGTTGGGTCACGAGGTTCAGATTGGACCCCCTTGCTTTCCAGGCTCCTTCTGAGAGGACTCTGGGTGCGGCTGGATCCAATCCTAGTCCCAGACCTGGTCAACGGTTTATGACTAAGGGTTCTTGTGCACAGTTACAAAGTAAAGTTAAAGAGAGCACGCTATGTTCCCTTACCACAAATCTGTTGTGGGAAGGGAAGTCTCTCAACCTCGAGGAGTAACCTTGAGAGGCGTCCCTGCTCAAGGGGAGATCCTGCTGTGCAGGCCGCAGCCGTGTCAGGAGAGCTCAAAGGGCTCTCGGGCTGTCCGCATATTTATAGGATAAGATGATTGACTTATAGTCGTTGTTTCATTTCAGAGGCCCATTGGCTAGTGTATTAGCCTTACCGTCCCTTTGGGATGCAGCCTTCAGGAATGTTATGTTGAGTCTAAGTGGCAGAAGAAATCAGGATGGTGGCGCCTACCAGGATTAGATAAATCGCTGGTGGTTAGCAACTGAACAGAGCTGCATGCAAGATACAGGCCAGGTTGAGCTGGGAAAGGAGCTTATCCGTCACAGGTCTGTTCTCTGGAGCATTTTCAAAAATAAATTTACTCACTAGAAAATACTTAAGCCACTTTTAGTAAAGCTAGCACTTATAACGACAGCCAAAACCTAACTTCCTGAAGTAAAATATATTCTGAAAGGAGTGAGTCTGAAACTATGAGAGATATGGATTAAAAATGAATTGCTTAATGAGAGAGACACATAAAGGAACAAGAGAAGGAAGAAATGTAAGCCAAGTGAAACACTTTGAGACAATTATTTAAATAGGAGGTATTCAAAATAACACATTAAATGGCCTGAGGTTTTATATATGTAGTAAGAAACATTTATGTGTTGTTTATAGTCAAAAGGCTTTATGGAATGTAGCAGAAACAAGACAGAAAAATAAATGACTTCCAGGATCATTGATATAGAAAAGCAGAGTTCATATGTATATAGGTTCAGATACAGCATGGTTTGGTTTTAAGGGCTGGTATTAGTTACACACCTTTATGTTTTTTATGTTATTTTTGAAGTTCTCCTACACATTGGCAAATAGTAACAGAGTATTTAAGGCTGAACACTGAAGCCCCATCATCTGTCATCATGGACATTCTTACGCTCAGTTCCACATAATAAAATTATTTGGCAGGGCTTAATATTTCTAGCACGAGTACCACTAATGGGCAGTTGGTTTCTGTCCAGGAGCTGAAGGGCAGCAAGCCTCCAACCAGGTACACAGGCATCCGCCAGCCAGCCCCACACACCTACCAGTGGAACAGCCAGGCATAAAACCTGCCTAACTAGTTTCTGTATCCTTCCTTCAAAACTATTGTACATTTTCCAGACATTCCACGGACTTCCCTAAAAGAGAAATTTTCCTTTGTCTTACTCTCATTCTCTCATTCTCCCTCCAAACACACAAACCGACTCTGTTTATGGCACTAAGCACAGCAGCTCTGAGATTTCTCCTGAAATCTCTGATCTCAGTTACATGTGTGTAAACCTAGAGTAAGAACTGCACAGTCAGTGCTGTTACTCTTGATTTAGGCTAGTTCAGGTGAAATCAGCTTTGAGTCAAATCACTGTTTGCATGCAGAGAAAATATACTCCTTTTTTTTTAAAAAAAAAACAGCTATATATGTGTGATTGCAAAGCTAATTTTAGGGGATTCCTCTGCAGCAGAGATACTCAAACAGTTAATTTATGACTATTTTCTGTGGCTATACTGTAACTCTTGGAGCAAAAATCAGAAGTATTTTATTTGAAAATCTACCAAAAAAAATGTGAGAGAGGAGATTACATTCTTTACAAAACATAACTTTCCCCTGAGCCACATATCTTTGATTTCAGCTAGAGTCAAATTTCAGAGATAAAGTACTATCCTTCTGAAAAACCTTACGTCTTGAGATATGGAATTTTATAAAGGAAATCAGCTTAACTTAGTCTCTCAGAAGATTTAGCTCTACAATAATGTTGGTCACAGGATGCAGAACCAAGTTCTGAGATGCAGCTATTTTAGGAGTCATGGCAGATGATTAAATCATTCTAATATCCCTGAGTAATACATTAATGCCATTCTTACAATGTAAATTGGGAATCTCGAGTAGGAGTAGGAGTAGGATTTTCTGGAATACTGTCCAGTTCAGAAGGATTGTTAAGAAATTCAAAGGTGTTCAAAGAAGAGCATACTAAAGGAAGAAAGAAGGGAGGGAGAGAAGAAAAGACTTTTAAAAATACAATAAACATAGCTAGCAATTGGATCAGTTACTAAAAAAGGTAGTAGGCATGTCATGACTCATTATTAAAAAAAAAAAATCTATTTTTCCTTGTTTTCTTGTTCCTAAAATGCTTTAACTCAAAAACAAAACAAAACAGCCAAGTCCGACAATTCACATCCAAAAGTCATTTTAGGTATGGAATTCTCTTGTCCAAAGTTAGAATTTAGAAACTAAACAAGCTAGAAACAAAATCATTTTAAACTGAACTCAGTACCTTCCCTTACCGTCATAAAATAGGCACTTGCAGAGGATGATGCATTTAATCCTCACAGTAGGTGAGAGAAATTGTTCGCAAGAAGAATTTTTTTTTCCACCGACTCCAATGGCAGCATTGGGCAATTCATATCAGCACAGACGTTTAAGTCTTTGTCCACTTATCTGAGTGAGGTGATTTTTAAACTAAGTATTTTCTTTTGGCCTGACAATGCATGAAGCTTCATCCAAATGAGGGGCAGCTCCTTCTCATCTGATGAAAAATTGTACAAACTTTGCTATGTATCACTAATGTAGAACTTTACATGAGACTAAAAAAACCTAAGCTCTTTTCAGTTTTATACTCTTGAAAGGCCAGCAAAGCAGGATAAGCAGCACATTTTTATGAATATTTTTCAGATGATGGAATTCATTTAAAGAATCATTAAACCTGGGTCATAATAGCAGGAGGACAAAATGGTTTCATATTCAGATCCCCTATTAGGAGAGAATTTCACTTAAACTGGTAATAATTTGACAAATCACTTACTTAAAGACAATGCTGTCCTTATCCTAGGTCTTGTTCTCTATGGCTCAGCTTTTTTTTTTTCACAGGGAATTGGAGATACTGCTCTTCCTTCATATCTAATCTTAATGAACTCAAATGAAATTTCATCTCCAGGATCCTGTTTTATAAAAGGTAAGCATATTTTTCAGACTTTTAGAGCCACAAAACAACCTCTAGATGCTGTCTTATATATATATATATGTATGTATATATATCTAAAAAAAAATAAAAAAAGACATTGCTAGAAGACATTTGTTCCCCTTCTTCGCTAATAATATGACTTTTTCTGAAGTCTCCAAATAGCCCCTTCATCTTCATTAAATGCAAAAGTGATTTCAGAGTTCACCTTCTCACTGATTTCCGGAAAATGCAATTAATCAGCACCAGCAACGAAGATGAAAAGCTGCAAATTCACCACCGCCATCAGCACCACTATCTTTTCTACAGAAATCCCAAGGAGAGAAAGATTGTATTTTGCAGAGAGATGTAAATGCTGCGCAGCAGAACCACAATCATCCTTCTGCCAAAGTGCTTTAGGCATCTGCAGTGCTATGGCCAGATTTGCTTTTACACGCCATTTTTTCAAAATAAAAGCCATTGCTTTACAGATTAGTAGTGGAATATGTTTCAGCAAGTCAGTCAGACGAGGAGATCAGATACACTTCTATCTTACTGAGCCTGGATAAAAACCTTAAAAGAGAAACAAAAAAATCCCTCTACATAAGATTTAGGACAAATTATAGCATTCATCCAGCACTGTGCAAGAAACCCCTAAATGTAGGTAGAGTTATGCAAGAGAGTCTGTGTTGCACTGCTACTGACATACACACCTCCAAGGAAATTTTTTTTTGTCAGAACATAGTCAAACATATCCTATAGGCAGCAAATCATCAGGGAAGTGAGTCCATGAGCGGATCAAAGCGATAGCCTGGAGCACTATGTCCTCTGCTGTGTTGGTGTCTACATCACAGCTAGTTATCTAGATTTCCCTTACAGACAGGGAAGAGGAACAGTTGTCTAATATGGGTCATACATATCATGCCCTAGAAATGCTTATTTTGCTCTGTTGACTGCAAAGCATATCTTTATCACTAGCTCAGATGTAGACATCTGCATTACAAAGATCTAAACAAAAGGAAAACTATCCTACCCATCTGTACCGCAAATACATCAGGGCACAAAACTACTCATGGAAGAAACATCAGGTCCCTCTTCTCTTCTGCACCCAGGGTAATGGCTGAGATGCACTGTGTAGCCTCTTCACAGGCTGAGGAGAAAGTGTGCTCCTGCCACCACAGCCATTACTTCTTTATTTGAAGTTTGGCCACAGGATCAGGCTTTGGCACTGATTTTTTATAGAGTACCTTCACTCAGAATTGCATAAGGACTAAAGGAAAACGTTCACACTAATGATTCATGTAGCCCAAAATGTTACAAAAATATACAACATCATTAGTTTGCAGGGAATTCTAAAGATCTGAGAACTGCTGAAGGGCAATTCAGAAGGAGGACCTTCTGAAGCCTTGGAAGCTTCAGTTGCCTAAACCTGACATTTCTGCTACTTCACTTTACATTCTTTTTGCTGAAAGCAAGCAACTGACAAAGTGTCACTTCTTTTCAGTTGATGCCAGAGTCTGGGGAAATGCATGCTGTGTTGAAAAAGCTTTAAAGTGTTCCAAATTATAACTATTATTATCTTTTTTTTTTTTTTAATGCATGTGTGAAAGGTTTAAGAGGGAGAAAAAAAAAACGTTTTATTCCACATCTCTTCAGAGTAAAATCTGAAAAGACCAAACTTCCTAGAAATTCCCACTTGGGTTAGTTCCAAGGCAAATATATTTGAAGCAATCCTCCAGAAGAAAAGAAAGAAGAATAAAGACTCACTGCCTTAACAGGCCAACACTGTAAGCAATATGTAATTTGCTCTCATACAAGTACTGTAGCATTTTTGCTGCTTTACCTGTTGTTTTTCTTTTTTTCCTCTTCTTCTCAACTAAACAAACATCCATAAAATCATTTGGTTGGTCAGAATGAAATTTATTTACATTAGACAATTAATTACAACTTTGTAGACTGCCAATTTTTATTATTTGACCTTTATTCTTTATCCTGGGTTAAAATAATAAAAGACTCATCAGTTTTCCCCTATAAACTATGATATTGGCTACATCAGCATAACAAATACTATAGCTCTGTCTCACCTTTTTGTAACATGACATACATGCATGTCTTGCCAAAGTGAAAGCACAGGATTTGTCAGAGAAGCAGAATAAGCAAATACAGGTACATGAAATCTGTTCATCTATATATATTCCCAGGTCCCATCTACTTGCAAGTTCCGGAGTCTCATTCTCTGAAGATCTTCAAAACGTGCCTGGATGACACCCTGTGCCACGTGCTTGAGCAGGGGGACTGGACTAGATGATCTCTAGAGTTCCCTTCCAACCTCAACCATTCTGTGGCTGTCTGACTCTCTGAATCTGTGTCCCTCTAGGATCCTTTTTCTAGAAGATTATACATCCTTGTGCGCAGCTTCTGGGTATAGATGATCACATGTAAATTGTAATTTCCTGTAATGATAATTGTAATAATCCTTGAAAAACAGGAGCATTAGCAATGTTGGCACTTCAGTAACCAATGCAGGAATTTCTATAAGGGGAGAATGAAAAGAAGAAGATAGGTAAACAGCAGGTATCTTTATTAACTGCAAGACCACCACCCTGAGGGAGTATAGCAAAAAAAAGTACAGAGAAGCTATTCCAACTGCTAAAGGAAGCATATGTACCTTCATGACTGAAGCACTACAGACACCTGAAAAAACACTCCAGCTGCTGGGATAGAGCAGTTAGACCTTCGCTCTCTAAGACTGCTCAAGTAGCAGCCCCTGTGACCTGCTGAGCTCCCCAGCAGCCTCCTCAGATGCCCTCCAGGAGACATGCTTAAAAACAGCAGAAGTTACCATCTAGATGTACCACAAATCTGGATTTGAAGATGACCGCATGGGAGTTCATGGAAGAAAACACAAACTTTTCCAGGATAATGCAGGGAGGAAGGGGACAAGATGTTCTCACTGGTGGCCAGCGATAGGACAAGGGGTAATGGCCACAAGCTGAAGCACAAGAAGTTCCGTCTCCAGGTGAGGAGCAACTTCTTTACTGTGAGGGTGACAGAGCAGTGGAACAGGCTGCCCAGGGAGGTTGTGGAGTCTCCTACACTGGAGGTCTTCAAAACCCACCTGGATGCCACCCTGTGCCACATGCTGTAGGTGTGCCTGCAGGAGCAGGAAGGTTGGACTAGATGATCTCTAGAGGTCCCTTCCAACCTTAAATATTCTGTGATTCTGTGATTCTGTGATAAAACTCACTTCCTTTGTGAGCAACTTCTGCATATTGCACATGGTATGGATCCAATGGATGGCATATAGAAATGTTTTCTGATGACAAAATCCTCAGTAAGCCATATTACTCAACTCATTATATCTGCACTGTCAGTTAGCCCAAGCGCAGATGGAAAGTCAGCAGTGTCAAAGGATTTGCATACAGCTTGCTCTTAAGCTTATCTTCTAATAGAGTCACAAAATGACTGGCATACAAGAACTGACTATACGCAACATGAAAATGCAGTCACTAAATGCACAGGCACACACTGCTGTTTGAAAGAGGCCAAAAGTCACTATATAGTGCAGAACCAAGTTTGTGTAATTCTCAACTCGTTCTATGACATTTGTTATCCACAGGCAAATTTGAATTATGCCATAAGAATTTCTTATTCTTTCCTTCTTTTACCCTCAGTCCTCCCCAAGACCTGTATTTATGACTCTGGATAAATTGGGGCCATACATTAGCTTTTAAATAGACTTCTGAATTCACAAAGAAATGATTTTCAACCTTCCCATACCACTTTCAGAAATGTCACCTTTCTCCTAGCCTTAGAATCAACTCATCCAGGTTTTCATCCAGAAAGAAAGCAGCAGCAGTGGCTCTGCTTCCAAATCCCAGCTGAAAAAAATAAAGTCATGAAGCAAAGGAGACAGCCACAGACCTTCTTCATACAAAGGGCATATTGTCATTCTACTGCTATTGAAATGTTGTTTACTAGGAGTTGATATCTCCCATCATTCCACTGGAACTTGTAAAGTGTTGTTTATGAATAGATTATCATAAATATTCAGTCAATCAAGTTATTAGAATATGAAACTATAAAATGAGTATTTCACCTATGTTGTATGGGATTCTATGTTGAGAGAAAGTTTCTAAATGAGCATTTCTAATTTTAATGCCTTTAGAAATGTCTGCTATTGTATCCTGATCAGCACTGTTAGTAGTGTCCCATTTCCTGAAACTTATTATTCAGAGTCTAACTAAAATCTGTATTAGGAAATCTTCTTGGGCTCCACATCAGCACACGTTTGTTTCCTCCAGACACCACTAATTATCTCGCTGAAAAATTCTCAAATTGTCCACCTCTTACCAAGTACACTGATAGAATTACACAAGACACATATTCAATGCAAAAAGACAGATCAATGTGATCCTCACCTCTCCAGGTGAGGAGGAACTTCTTTACTGTTAGGGTGACAGAGCAGTGGAACAGGCTGCCCAGGGAGGTTGTGGAGTCTCCTACTCTGGAGGTCTTCAAAACCCGCCTGGATGCCACCCTGTGCCACATGCTGTAGGTGTGCCTGCTTGAGCAGGAAGGTTGGACTAGATGATCTCTAGAGGTCCCTTCCAACCTTAAATATTCTGTGAATCTGTGAATGTGAACACAATGGCTAGTTTTAGAGGAACTAATTTTCATGTAGCTCACCCCTGTGTATAGTGTTTCCTGTTGAACAGGTAATGCCAAAGAGTATCTATGTCCCCAGAGCATTCAGTGCAGATCAGTGGTGCAAATAAGGAGGCAGGCCAAGCCAGTGTTAACAGGTAAGTCAGTGAAATACTTATGATGGTTCCTCGGGATTTATTCCCTGATGATTTTATACAACTCTTACCTCAGATATGTCATTTCTGCTAGCAATGGCTGTTACTAATGGGCTGATATCTTACCATGTGGCCCACTTTGCTTCAATGGTAAGATGAAGATTGCCTGCATACAATTTAAATCTTCAACATTTAGTCTAGACTGGTCATGTAAGTTTTATCCAAATCATTGAAATATCTCTGAAATTAACATCTAGGTAGCACTGAGAAATTTACTTTGAAAATTTGTATTATTTTTCCACATACATAAAAGGGGTTAAATGGTTATTTCTGTTAGGTGAGCTAGTCTGTGTATCCCTAACTTAGTCTTGCTGTCTATGGTTGGGCGTAAGAGATCCTGTGCAGAAGCATTACATTGCTTCTCAGTATCATGATGAGTGATGTGCTATATTAGCAAACAAAAGCTGCTCCATTATTTTTCTAAAACTAAACATTCTAAGTGATGGACTCAGTAATTAATGTAATGGGTACTAATGTAATTAGGTTGGGTAATTCATGCCTTAACATTGGCCTTTCAGGGCTGCACCACCTGTTAGTGAAACAATATGAAAGAATCATATATCAGGTCCAGAGGCATATTCTGTAATTCTAAGACAGAGATAGCAAAAGCATAGGAGTCAACTGACTTTTCACAGGAAGGCCAGGTGAAAATTCAGAGCAAAGAGCAGTTCAAAGAAACGGTTCCCAAAAGGTGGAAACACCATCAGCTTAATTAGCCACACTCCTCCTCATTCTGTCGCTGCCACCAAGAGCATGAATTCAGGCTATTATTATGCAAGAAAAAGGTTCTACTGTATATTTCTTCTAAGAATTCCTTTATTAAAAGGATTTCTTTACCAAAGTAATTTCAGGATACTTAACCTTAATAAGTGTAGTCACTTCTAAAAGGAAAGTCATGGATTCAGTTGTGGTGATTTAGAGATAGCTTTTGAAGAAAGCAAGAACATTCACAGCATTTTTACACCATTGAAATACACTTCTCTGAAACTCTTTTACAAAGTGAATTTGTATATAAACAAATCTGCATATTCGATTTTGTATTATTTATGTGATGCTTGTTTGTGGTACTAGCTAGCTTGAGTCAGGGCTTACCTGATCATCTGCTGCATGGATCGGTGCTCCTTGTTCCTCCAGCAAGCAGGACATGAGGTATTTGTAGAGGTATATGTTCATAGCTATGCAAAGATCCCTTCCAAATATCTCTTAAGCCAACTCTTTGATATAAAGGGATGACAAGCATACAAAGTATCATAAAATCATAGAATCACAGAACCCTTAAGGTTGGAAGGGACCTCTAGAGGTCATCTAGTCCAACCTCCCTGCACACGCAGGGTCACCTAGAGCACGTGGCACAGGGCTGCATCCAAGTGGGTTTTAAAGATCTCCAAAGAAGGAGATTCCACAACCTCTTTCGGCAGCCTGTTTCAGTGTTCTGTTAACCTCACTGTTAAGAAAATTTTCCTTAGGTTCCTGTGGAACTTTTGGTGCTTCAGTTTGTGGCCGTTTCCTCTAGTTCTATCAGTGGCCATCACTGAAAAGAGGCCAGCCCTATCCTCCTCACTCCCTCAGTACCTGACCACAAGTCAGGTTCACTTCAGTCTCCTCTTCACCATTGACCCGAATCCTCAATCAACAAACATAGGTGACCTGTGAACACAGCACATCTACTAAAAAGGCTGCTGCACACTGGTTTCCTAAAAACAACAATCATAGAATCACTGAAATATTATGGTTAAGACCTTCAAAATAGAGTCCAACCATAAGTCACTCAAACCATACCTGTTAAACCATGTCCCTAAGCACCTCAACTACATGTTTCTTGAACACTCCTTGGGACAGTGACTCTACCACTTCCCTGGGCAACCTGTTCCAGTGCTACTTTTCTGTGTAGATTTTTTTTTCCTAATATCTAACCTGAACCTACCCTTCTTTGGGCATGAGGCTATAATGTGGGAAACCGCATTAAGGCAATCCAGCATGTAGAACATGTGAGGTGACTTGGACATCGGGTTTTTGTCCAAAATCTTATCCTGCATTACAAATACACAACAACTCTGCTTGCAAATAACAGAGTTAAATATGTACTTTGCAAGCTCTGCAGCACCTGGACTCTTGAAAGGTCAAGCATGTGTGCAGTAGGTCTTACTGAAAGGTCACAAGAGATGCAAATAAGAATCACCTTTACCATGGTACACACCATTTCTCCCTTTGAAAATGCACACAAGGTCCCTCTGGCTAAACTTCTCCCTCATCTTGCTCAGGGCAGAGCAAACAGGAATCATGTGCATTTCACTGGTGGCTTTCACTCCAAGACAGCTCTTTGAGAGGTGCTTCCTGGGAGCAGAGGGAAAATAGCACCACCAGGGCACAAAT